ATATTATTCTTTTGTTCAACCTTGTTTAATTTCAACACAACCATTCAATTAAATCGTTTATTCAAGTTTTCAAAGAAGCCAATGTAGTCCTCTCTATTCACTCGGTTGATTTGATGAGCCACTTTTCGTTAAGCATTATTAGTCACATGCGGTTCATGAAGATAAAATAAATAAATTATTAGAACATTAGACATTCAGTGAATGATTGATAACTATTAAACGTATTCAACAACGGAAGATAAATCAACAAACATTACTTTGACAGTGATGGGTATTTACAATAGAGACAACTCTGAATGATTAATTAATTGTTTCGTATTTTATAGTTTTTTTTATTTAAAAAAAAGTGTGTCTATTAATACTTGGTCCCTGGTTTTTGATAATAAACCAACATCATAAAGACTTTAAAAAATTCCTTCTTTAACATAACATTTATGTAAACCAACAATACCAGTGAAAGTGTCTCTTTTTCCATAATCCAGATACGAATACGCATCTATTTGTTGTAAAGTAGAATGTGAAATTAGTTTTTTAAATATTGCAAGTTATTAGAAAAGAAAAATTTTTTTATTCAACAAAAAATCCAAATTCAAGAATATATTTAATAAATGACAAACCAGTTATTTATTCGTTGTACAAAAATATACATTATCGACTGTAGTTATTTTATAATAAAATTATTATAACAATTAGTATTGTGTTTTCTATTAATAGAAATAGAAATGTATTCTATTTCTATTAAAAAATAGAAATAGAAAAAAAGGAAAAAAGAAAGAATTTTAAAAATTTTCAAGTTCGTTTTTAGTTTTTATTTTCAAAAAGTGTATAGTTTAAATAGTATTAGAATAATTATATATAATTTTGTCAAAAACAAAGCTTACAGTATGACAAGTTTGACTTAAACGACAAGTTTGGGTTAAATGGTAAATATTATAATTTAATTATAATAAAAATTTGAACTATAACCCGAACTAATTAATTGCTTTTTTATTATTAAGTTTATATAAAAAATTGAATAATTAAAAGCAAGCCAAAAACCCAAACACACAACATAAAGAATAAGAAAGCAATGAAAAAAGTAAAGATAATTATAAACTATCACACGATCATGATCATCACCAACATTTTAATGTGATCACAAACAATAAAGTTTTATCAAAATTTGTCAAATAAAGTAACCATAACATTTCAAATTCAATTATAAATACAGTCTAATTTCCCTAGAGTGTGTAATTATTATTTTTGTTGTTCTCTATTATTTGAGCATTTCTTAAGAACAAACCAAAAACAAGATAGACATGCTCTTTAAAGAGTGGGTCCACTTTTTATTGGCCAAAATCAAGCGATGATTCTTAATAAATCACACTCTTGGGAGGTTTGGCAGTTTTTCCTTGCGTTGAATTCGTTTTTATGGATATTATTATTTAATTAAGTTAAAAGCAGTATTCTTCCATCGCGATAAGAAATACTGATGATTTATCATATTAAAATAAATATAAAGTAACACAAACGTTTCAGAATGAGGCGGCACATGTTTTGGCGCGTTTGAACTCAACGAGACAAACACATTGAAATATACAAAACAATACTTAACATGTGTTTTGGTTTTATTTTTCAAGATCAGAGTGTAACATAAAACTATAGAATTAATAATAATTTAAATATTATTCTATTTAACCATTATATTTTTTTCTAGTTTAACCCACTATTTACTATAATAATTGGTTTTTAAACCATGAACGTGAACCATTTAAGTCAAACTATTCCATTTAAGGCAAACTTGTCTAACTGTAAGTATAAAACTAAAAAATATGTCATCTAGTCACCATAATGATTAAATTTTAGAATGATTAAACATGATTATATAGGCACTTTCCTGAGTGGTCTCTAATCATCAAATGACATTCTTATAATTAATAATAATCAATTGCAGAGCACTTAATGTTTAATTACTATTTACAAAGCAAAGACTGATAAAAATAAAAATAAAGTCTGTCTAAAAACGTTGTCCGCTTGTAAAACGTTGTCCATTTGACAAAATTTTACACAAAATAAGTTGAAAAAATTGGGAATTAGGTAAAAACGATTAAATCCCGGTAAAAATTATGAAACAACGTTTTGGGAATGTTTCGAATTATTTCCCGAAATATTCCAGTTTTGATGGTCCAAAAATGCCTGGACAACGTTGGAGAGCGGACAACGTTTTCAGACTGACTATAATAATAATAATAATCGTTTTTTCGATGTAGTTCCACAATGAAAATGATCACACCTGTTATAAAAATAAAAGTCATATTCAATTATCAATAATATGTCAAAAACAATAAATATCTTTAGTTTATGTTTACATCAACAATTACATTTAAATGTAATTGTCAATTATTTATTTATCATTTCATGTCTTGTCATATTGGTAACTCAGGCGTTTCCAATTTTTGCTTTTCACTATTTGGAGATTAAACTGTTATTTTTTTGTTAAATTTTGGCAAGAAAAAAATAGTAAATGAATAAAAAGGTTTTTGGTATAATTTAGTTAAATTAAATCACAATTGAAAAATATTTTTTTTAATTAAGCAGAGTCCTTAAAAAAACAAAACCTTGCAACCACGTTTTGCAGACGTGTTAAAAAATATTTTTTTCGTATTTTTTCAAATTATGTTATTTTCGAATTATATGGCAAAAAAATAATTATGGTAACAAAAAATAATTATACAAAAATAATTAAATCATTTAATTAAAGTTACAATCATTGATATAATAATTAATATTTTGTTTGATGTAGTTCTTTGTTAATAGCACAATCTTTGATAAGTAATCTGTTTTTGGTCGTTTTTTCTTTTGAGTTAAATTCACAAACACGTTTTAATATAGAAAAACCAGATTCACATGTTGCAGTTGAAGGTGGTATGCTCATCAAATAACGAAGAAGGTTGTACAAATTTGAATTTTTCCTGAAAAGGGGTTAATAATCAAGAAGATCAATTTTATCAACGACCCACGTTTCTTTGAATTTATGAAGATGTTCTCTTTTTTGTAAAATAATACCATTTCTCAAGTGTACATAATTATCCATATTCTTTATTTCATTTACTTCTTCCATATAGATTATCATATTTTTCGTTGGTTGATAATCATTGTTGAATATTTTATAAAATGAATTGCAAAATGACACATTTCGTCCAACAAATTGCAGTGCAATTCTCTTTCTTTTTGTTTGAGAGGATTTATTTGACATTTTTAATGTATTTTGAACAAGTTCCTTTGAATTTTGGAGATGTGCAAACACTGTAAAAACGAACATCAAGTGTTGTTTCGAGTATCTGAATGAGATCTATCATCCATTCAATATCGAAAAAATCTGTAGTTTCTTTTAAGTTTGGAAACAACACAAATTGTTCATTAATTATATCTATTTTCATATCACTTATTTTCGTTTTAAATAATTGAATTTTTTCATACGCTCTGAATATGCATGCATCATTTCTTTGAAGTTCTCTGTTTAACATTTGGAGTTTTCCAATTGTATCCAAAATAAATAAAATGTGGTTTTTTATTACACTTCCACTGAACAACAAACACAATTGATTAACTGTATATTCACCACATTCTTTATCTTTCTCCTCAAAACCTTCCAAAAACTCGACCACATTATCATAATGTTTGTGACACCAATCAAATATGGATTCAAGTGATAACCAACGAGTTGGACAATAAGTTGGAGGCAACATAGAGTATTTTAAATAAAAAGACTTTTCAACTCTCAAAAATAACATATTTCAGATATGATTTCAACACATTCATTGGCTCCATCAACACTTAAACATTCTTCTGCGCATAGATCTAAACGGTGACAGAAACACCAAACTGACATAATTTCAAATTGTCGTTTGGGTATAACACTAAATTCTCGAACAACAAGAGGACCCATACCATTTTCCACCCCTTGCATGTTTCCTGCCCCATCCGTTACTATTGCAGATACATTATTTTTGTCACATTTAACACATTTTAAAACTTTGATTAAGTTTTCTTTCATGTTCTCACCAGTAGCCTTGCCAGAATACGTTTTCACTTCAACCAAACGAGTGAGTACTTTTAAACCAGGCATAACAATTCTTGCGTAATAATTATACCAATGTTTGTGGTGTACTGTACATTCATCGGTCATTATAGCAACATGTTGTGCTTTTTCACATGTTTCTTGTATGTTCTTTTCGATTTTGGTAGCTTCTATATTAATTCTTGATGTCATGGCTTGATGGCTTGATCTTATTTTGTCTAGAATTCCTATTCCTTCCATTTTTATGTATCTTTTAATCATCACCAAAAGTTTTTCAAAAACTTCAGCTTTACATACTATATTATTGTCTGCAAATAACAATGAAATTTCTGTTGTCAATTCTCTTCCACTTTCGATTAGTCTTTTATCTCTATTTACAGCAGATTCTGTCTCAACATTTTCGTATTGAATGAATTCCATATTTTCTTTTTTGAAGCATATTTTAAACCATTGAAAAAATATTGAGCAACTTTGCATTTGGTTACTTCATCATTATTTTCTTCGTGTGTCAGGTTATGATCTGAGGCAATTGTTTTATTGATAATAATGCCGCAAACTCTACAGAAATATTTCCTATCAACTAAAACCACCATATTTCTTTCTTTACCCCAATCAATTGTGTATGGCCTTTTCATATTTATTAACAGATTTTTTTAAATAAAAAAAATATATCCAAAAACAAATTATAGGTTAAAAAAAATTTGGATTTTTTATATGTTAAAGAAGAAAAGTGCTCATAATTGTTTCAATTTTTGTTTCTTTCAAAAAGTTTAAAACCC